TTTATGAAATGTATGATAGTACTGAGATATCAGTGGAAAAGCCGAAAATTGATTAATCATTATGTAAATTAGGTAATTAATAATCAAATCTACGCATTAGTTCAGAGCATCCATGTGCCAAGTTTCATTGAAATTCAATGAGTGGTTCTTCAAAAATCAGTGGAACAGTCATAGAACAGCTTAAAATCAGTTAATTATCATGCAAATTAGGTAATTAATATTCATAGATTTTTACCCAAAACTAATCAAATCTGCGCACTAGTTCAGAGCATCCATGTGCCACATTTCATCAAAATCCAATGAGTGGTTCTTTAGATATCAGTGGAACAGTCTTGGAACAGCTAAAAATCAGCTAAGTATCATGCAAATTAGGTAATTAATATTCATAGATTTTTACCAAAACCTAATCAACTCTGCGCATTATCCCAGAGCATCTATGTACCAAGTTTCACCAAAATTTGATTAGTGGTTCTTGAGATAACGGTGGAACAAAAAAAGTGACATACATACATACATACAGACAGACAGGGTAACTGCAAAGACTCCCTTTTGAGCTTCGCACACGGGAGTCAAAAATTAAGATGTTATTTTTATGTATGAAAAGTATTATTCAAATAAAACAAGAGTCAATATTTTCAACATTTTCGAAATTACAAATGACAGAGTAACACACTGGATCCCAAAACTCATATACGACTTGGTTAGCCTCGCTCAACTTATTGGTAACCAGTCTTGTGATTGGTTGTTGACACATTCTGAATAGGCCAAGCCTCCAACTGTGCCATGCTTTCGGGGGCAACAGTTAATTATTCATAAATGGAGCCAATTTGGGTAGTTTTCTTGATTTATTCCGCAGATATAGGTAAAATACAAGTATGGTATTGGCGAAATTTGAAAGAGCAACCAATATTCTTCAAGCTGGTATTTTATTTTTCATTCTGTTTGACTGTTTTCTCAAGTTTAAAAAATGTGAGCTGGCTGGAGCCTTCATCCGTTTCTTACATTAGATCCCAGCCAATACACCCCACCCCTGCTCATAGAGTCTGTGTACAGTTGATTATAGTTCCTGGGCTCCCTGTGCATAAAGCTCATGATGACTGAGAATTTAAAACCAGCAAATGTGCTGAAGACATCAAAATAGTGACATTGTAACCCGGAGAATATTAATCCTTTTACTTAAATAATACTAAACCAACATAAATAACGTATGCTTACTTCAGAAAGGGGAGTCAATGATGCACTCTCTCCACCATAATATTTGTTTCTATCCATATGCAGTACCTTGCGACCATTCACTGATAAGAGACCACTGAGCACACATTCCTGCAAGTATGAGGGAAAAAAAAGAACTTCCGTGTAACATAAAATGTCATATTCATAGGATGATAATTAGAATAGATTTATCAACGAGTGATGGAGATAAATAATACTAATATTTGGTCTCGATAGCCAGCTATAAATGTGTTAATGCGACCCTGCTATAAATGTGTAGCAATTAGCATTAACAACTGCAAATCAATTATTTTGAAACTGTCCATTGTTCTACAGTTTAATTCAAATAAATATTTATCCACTAAGCTAATATCTTATGGAACTATCAGCATGAAAGTGTCTTAAAAATAAAATTGTTAGCATTAAAGCTTTATGCAATATATTTGTGAGACAATTTGCATTTAAAATTTGTGACTACTTTGTATAAAAATAATTAATTTTATATGACTGTCAATATACCAAAAAAATGTACTGCCAGACAAATTGACCAAATTATGCTCAACTATCAACACAACAAACCCATTCCCTTGATTTTTATAAATAATCATAAATTTCAATGGCAGTTGAATCCACTCAATCAACGAGCACAGTACAGTACGCACAGTGATGAAAAATTAGGTAGCACAGTTTAATATATTTTGTTTTTTTCTATCATGCACGTGCTACATCACATTGATTACATTTTTACAGAAGGATTATCATATCTTAGTTACGTCCTATTTTGTATTCACTGTGGATCCCACCGTACATTTCAACCATGATTCAGAGGCCAGGCATTTCATTGCCTGGAAATCTACCGTAATTACCGTAATCAAGAACGTGGTACCAGCAAATAAACTACGAATTACAGGATTCTTAATATCATATTTTATGTTGCAACATCTTTTTTTAAATTCACAATTAATATTATCATTGGCATATTTCAATGTAAATGGGAGGATCATCGGATTTCAAACAGGGGGCAGGGCCCATTCAAGCGGTGAGTGATGTCATCGGTTTTTTGATCCGACAAGGAGATACATTTTAACCATATCCATAAAATTTTCAGATGAATACATTTTAAAATGATAGTATTTACGCACAACGATTGTTTTTTTAAGCTACACGAAAGTATCATTTGATTCAATATTGTGTGGCCGGAAATCGGTCTGCAAAGGGCTGTATGCCCAGACACATGACAGCACAATATAAATTTGTCGTGTCAGAGCAGCGAACGGGCGTACCAAAATGGGCGGTACCTGACTCGAGAAATGTTGTCTTACCTTCAGACCAGTGCCCAATACGATTACGTCATATTCTTCATCCATGGTGATATAATATTATATTTTTTTTCTTCAATAAATTACAGGGAAATAAGACAGAAAATTCAATAAACCTGCCGATCTTCTGTTCAGGTTCCAAAATGGCCGTCAACACGCCGGTTTACTAACCATCGCCGAATATTTCGATTAATCCGCCACATAGTTATATTGTACATAAAATACATCCCATATATGCAAAACACTGTTCTGCAAGATAATTAAAGCAAGTGCAATATTAAATATAGACGTACAATTGTTTCAATAAAAGTGCGCAACTTTAAAAAACATAAATTATACCGATAGGCCTATATTTTACGCGGAGGGTTAATTTTGATGGAAGAAATGACTTCTGTTTTTTTGGTGGTCTTGTGAGTGTTGTTTTGGGAAGAATACATTTTATTCTTGATTCTATTTTTAAAAATCAGATTCATGTATGTGGGATATAAATAACTTACAAATAACGAGTTTTCTTTTTGTTATAATATCCCAATTATATAATACGGTAAGTGTAGACCCCGATTCGAAAGCCGCATATAAATAAATGAATTATTTAACATTCATATTTCAATCTGAATGGGGAACTTCCATTTGTTACACTGTTGTAACTGTGTTTATTTGTGTTCTTCTCCATTGAGTTGCGCGGTCATACTTGAATGTGTGTACTCTTGTGTA